ACCCAGGAGCAGGCCTAAGCCAGCAGGTCGTTATCTCCCGAGGGGTCCCAGTCTGCGAGAGGGCACAGGCCGGGCTGAGGGACCCCCCTCCCCTCCCCCCCCGGGGGCACAAATTTTTGTGCACCGGGCCTCTAGTATGTTTTATAAAACAATGAAAGGAAAGGATGAGAACCCTTAAAGACTTACATATTTTTGTTGTTGTTATTAATCATCACCTGAGGATATTATTTCCATTGCTTTTCTGAGAGTGTGAAAGGGAGGGAGGGAGGCAAAGGGAGGAAAAAAGGGAGAGAGAGAGAAAGAGAGAGTGAAAGAAACATCACTGTGAGATAGACACATCCACCTGTTGCCTACCACAACCACCACCACCACCACCCCACACTGCCACCCATCTGGGAGCAGGGATCAAATCCACAACCCTGGTACAGTCCTTGTTCAGGTATCAAACCTATGACCCTTTGATGTGCAGGCTAATTCTCTAACAATTAAACACACCTGCCAGGGCAGAGACTTGCATCTTTAGTGCTCTTACCCTTATTTTGAGGTGGCTTACACTTCCTAAGTTCATGACAGAGGGTAACTGAGTGTCTTTTCTTTCCACAGTGATGGACACAGCAGAATCCACCTCTGATGAGCCCCTTGTCAGAGGCAAAAGTGGGCAAGATCTCGAAAAGATGCTGAGAGAAGTAGGACTAGCAGTTGAGTACTGGCTGCCAAAGCTACAGGAACACCTGGGTGTGACCTGTGCACAGGCCTTACAATACATAGAAGAAAAAGACCTCCAGAAGCTGAAATCCCAGGCACAACATCCCTGGGAGAAAAGGGCTCTGGAGAAGCTACTTAACTCAAATAGCCTTTCAAAGTTACAGGAGTCTCAGGTGAAAGTGATAAAGGAAGAACAGAAGAAGGCCGAACAGGCACTGCAGGAGCTGAGAGACTTGCTATCAGAGGGGAGGCAACGACAAGAAGAGGAAGTAAGGAAAAAAGAGGCAGAGCTGAGGCAGGCAATGGAGATTCCCAAAGAGTACTGGCCACCCCCCGAAAAATCCTTAAGAGAAGTGATGGAACAGATGCAGGGACAACTCAACCTCATGGAGGCCACACTGTCTCACAGGCAAAACCTCCCAGATAGAGATCTCGTGAGATGGGCATCTGGAGGGCTGGCCCTGCAGGGAATTTACAAAAACGGCTACCAAAAAGAGCTTATACAGAAGAGACAAGAGCTGCTCAGTGTCCCCAAGGAGTTCTTAATCTCTGGCCCTGAGCATGGCACACGGATGGAAACCAGGGAATTTACATCTTCTCAAGAAGAATCCAAGTTCACCCAGATGACAGAGAAGCTGGGCTTCAGTGTAATTGCCTCAGCCAAGGGCGGAGGTTGGGGATTTAGCCTGGAAGCTGGTATGGAGCTCAGCAAACATTCAGAATCCAAGGAAAACCAACAATCACGTTCTGAGCACTCCTATTTCTGCTCTACCAAGTTCAGCTATGTCCCACTTGCCTCCTGCCACTTTCCCATGGATCAGCTCCAGTTCTCCAAGGCTGCTCTCCAGGAACTGAAATGCATTGAAGACATTCTGGGTCAGCCTGCAGACACAGACAGAGTCCCCTTGCTGAGGCAGAGGACTGAAGCTTTCTTCCACAAGTTTGGCTCTCATGCCAACCAGGGCCCTCTGCACCTGGGAGGAATCTACTGGTGGAAAGCCGTGTCAGAGGGTTTCCGAAGTGAGCAGCTGGCAGAAGTAAAGAAGCAGGCAGCAAAGGCCCTAGATGTTTACATAACGGGCAGCTACAGTGGCTTTGGACTGATAGGTCCTGCAGGTGCGGATGGGTCATACTCTAGTTCAGAAACTAACACCCAAAGCACAACCTCCCATAATCTCCAAACCAAAGTCCAATTATCTGTGGCCCAGACAGGTGGCCCACCAGAAGCAAATGGCTTTCTCCAATGGAAAGCTGGCCTAGTTGCCAGTAACCAAACCTGGAGTGTCATTGACCGGGGCCTTCAGCTGGTGCCGGTTTGGGACATCATCCTCTACAACCACAGAAGTGATTTTAAGGATCCATGTCAGGTAGCTAGCTTACTGAAGGATAGCTACTCTGCTCTGACATGCATCACTGCCCAGATCCAGGATGGAGAAGAATTACTGAGTGTTGGGAAGGAGGCTGGGCTTTCCCTAGAGGATGTGAAATCCTGGAAGGTATCTGATCCTGAAGAGCAGCTTAAAAAACTGATAACTTTCATGCAAATATTGAGTAAAAAAACAAACAGTTACAACGCTTGGGTTAACATATGCCTCACAGATTGGGGTCTGCAGAATTTTCTGGTGAACACTGTTAACTTTTACAAAAATTCTTCCATCTATGAAACTAAGTTTATTAAATCTCAGTTGCGCAGCCTTTTGTATCCTCACATCTACAGAGTGAATAACTTTCCTCAGGCTCATTCCATCATGCAGTGGGCCTTCCAGTCAGAGTCAGAAGAAGAGCACATCAACATCTCCCAATTTTCTGAATTAATTAAAATCTTAAAGAAAACCCACAATGACCTCATGGAAGTGAAGAATTTGCCTAAGTCTGCAGAAACAGTAGAAGAAGCTCAAAGAAAGGCCACTTATGAGGTCGGTTTGTCTCTCGGCTGCTTCTTGAATTACCTCCAAGAAACAGAGCAGGCAGACACACAGCTTTTGCTACTTTCCATTGCAGCTGGTATAGGATATGATGTGGTAAACAAACAGTTTCAGTATCTCCTTGGGTGTGAGGAGTTACACTTCCTAGTGCATGAAATGCAAACTGCCCAAGATAAATACCAGGAGCTCAAAAACAATTGCACCTACAGAGCCCAGGCATTCCTGGTGCTCACAGGTCTTACAGCTACCATTGGAGTCACAGCACTTTCTCCAGAGGAGAAAACACAACGCTTGGCATTAATAAGGCATCTTCTGGGCCAGTCTTTGTCAAAAGAAGTTGTCCATGTCCTCTCCAAACCTGGAGCAGATCATGATTGGGAAAACCTAGAGAAAGACTTGAGATTGCTCATTGATGGTAATTATGAAGCCACCATCAATTCATTGCAAATGGATGAGATAAGTAAAAACTTGCAAAGTATTTTCCATGAAAGGAAAGAACCTCATGAAACACATGATAATGATAATATCAAAAGGGAAGTCATTAAAGATACAGCGTTCCTAGATTTACTCCAGCATCTAGGCTTAGATCATTTCTACCCAAAGAAGATGAGCAGAACTAACTTCCATGTGATCAACAAGACTTCTGTGTACAACAGCCAGCCCAGATCTGAAAGGGAGCTTCCCCTATATTTCCTTCAGAAACTACAAGTTCTGGATTATGGTCTGAGATACCTGGTCTTTAGAGATGATGGAAACACACAGAATCAATTCTATCCAAGTGCCTCAAATCAGGAAAATGAGGCTTTTGACCCATATGAAGACTTGTTTGAAGACAGGGATACTCCCATTAACCCTTCATCCTCTAATCCTAGGCCCCATATTAACCCTATGGATATTCAGATGGCAATTCTTCACTGTGCAGATGATTTTGCCAGACAGTATATTTTGTCCAAACTTTCCATTTGCCAGTTTGCACTCCCTCTTCTCATACCTAATCCCTGCAGTTCTCAAATTGATTTCTCTCTCTGGTCTCTCAGGCAAATTAGAAGGAGCTGGCAGGAAGCAAGGAAATCACCAAGAGTGGAGAAGATCAATTACAAGAATAAACTGATGTGTCATGTCTCTACCCCCATTGTGTCCTTTATACGAGTTGGAAATGGCTTCTCTGCTTCCAAATCTCAGATCATGAACTGTCTTCTCAGTAAACGTAAACATGATGTCTTTTTCCACCGACATTGCAGAGGGAGCACCAAAGACTGTCTCTTGATGGGGGGAGTAGTGGAAATCTGCTGGTTCTGTCCTGGAGGGGACGATGAGGACAGATTTGACAACTGTGTGACCTTCACCAATCTCCATGGAGATGCAAAGGAACATAAGAAGCAACT